TGAAAGCAATGCTGAGATTCCACCTCATTCCAGAATTTATAAAGAACTTTAAAAAAATCAGACCTCCCAAATTTAAAGACCCAATCCAAAAATGGGCATCTGAAATGAACAGACATTTCGCAGACAAAAAAGAAGAAATAGCAAATAAACATATGAAAAAATGTTCAACATCACTGGTCATTCAAGTGATGCAGATGAAAACAACACTGAGATTCCACCTCACTCCAGAAAGAATGGCTGCTATCATGAAATCAACCAATAACAAATGCTGGCGGGGCTGTAGGGAAAGAGGAACACTCCTGTACTGCTGGTTGGAGTGTAGACTGGTGCAACCACTGTGGAAATCAGTGTAGAGATAACTCAAAGAACTAGGACTGGAAGTCCCATCCGACCTAGCTATTCCCCTTCTGAGTATCTTCCCCAAGAAATTAAAAGAATCATACCACAGTGATATATGTGCACCCATGTTCATAGCAGCACAATTTGTAATAGCTAAATCTTGGAAGCAGCCCAAATGCCCATCAACTGGAGAATGGATAAAGAAAATGTGGGATTTTTTATAAAATGGAGTACTACTAGCCATAAAAAATGAGAAATTAGACATTTATAGCTGAATGGAGGCACATTGAGGCGATACTCAAGTGAAAAAAGTAGGACACACATGTGTAAATACCGAATAGTTTCTCCAGTGTGAGAAACTGAAACTGTAAATAAGGACTAAAAGGTATAATAGATAATGTCAAATAGGAAGAAAAGGGGCAAAGGGTAAGGGAAAGTGGGAGGGGTGGGGGAAAGGAAAGAAGGTAATGGAGGGCCAGGGATTTAGCTCAGGGGTTCCAGTGCCTGCCTCGCACACGGAAGGACCTAAGTTCGATCCCTGGTGCCAAAAAAGAGAAGGTAATGGAATTAATATGAGAAAATTAAAAAATGGAAACAAAGTCGTAAATAGGGAGGGATGGAGGGGTTGACAGGAGGGCAGGGGAATGGGGAAAAAATGAAAACCAAGGGGGTTCAGGATTTAGCTCTGTGGTTCTGCCACCTGCATCGAAAGCACAAGGTACCAAGTTCGATCCCTGGTACAAAAAAAAAAAAAAAAAGAGAGATTATGTAATGGTGCAAATTTCCAATGATAAATGTCATTATATTGTATACCTAAAATGTACCAATAAAATTAACTTTCAAAAATGAGAAAATAGTCATTTATAACTAAATGAATCTACATTGAGGCCATACTCTTAAGTAAAATAAATAGGACACACATGTCTAAATACCGAATAGTTTCTCTGGTATGAGAAAATGAAACTGTAAATAAGGATCAAAATGTATAATAGATAATGTGAAATAGGAAGAAAAGGTCAGGGGAAGGGGAAGTGGTAGGGGCAGGGGAAGGGAAAGAATGGAAAGGAATAAACATGAGAAAATGAAAAAATGGCAACAAAGTCTTTGTAAATAGGGAAGAATGGAGGAGTTGAAGGGAGGGCAGGGGAATGAGGAAAAAAGTAAGAACCAAGACATATCATGTAAAGGTACAAATTCCCAATGATGAATGTCATCATATTGTAAACTAAAATGTACCAATAAACTTAATTAAAGAAAAAAAGAAAAAGTTTGGAATGCATTTCCAATTTCTCTGATGCTGGTTCAGGATTAAAAACAAAAAGTCATCTGGATGCTCTCCATTCAGGTCTGCTCCCTACCTCGGCAGCTGGTGCAGCATAGGTCAAAGGAGGGGGCAAAGAAGCCACCGCAGTCTCATCAGACAGGGCTGCAGAGCCCACACACACCTGTGTGAGAGAAGAGGGAGGGGTGAGCGTGGGCAGCGACCTCCACACCTCTGTACCCAACGCTGTGCATGCATATCATTTATTTAGCAAATAAAATAAAAGACAAAAAACTACAGTTCTCCAAGAACTAGGAAAATCTGGTCCAATGGGGGGCTTTAGCCCACAAGGATGTCCTGAGTTCAGGAGCGAGATGCTCCATCCTCGGGGCCTCAGCAGGAGCAGAGCTCTCATGGCACAGGAAGGCCCTAGAGTCTCGCTCCACTGTTGCCAGAGCCTTTTAGAGACATTGCACCACTCAATAATCCTACACACAATTTGAAAAGTAACAGTCAGAGATAGGTTCCATAAAATCTTTTGCATTAAAAAGAAAGTTCTTGAAATTGCGACTCAGTTTGGGGAAAAAAAGCAATAAAAAAAATCCATACAAAGAATTACCATGGGATATTGCCTCTAACTATATGGACCATTAATACTAATCTCACCCAAAAAGAGAATGAATTTTCATGAAAGAAAGGATAACCGGAGCTACAGAGTTAAGTTTTAAGGAAAAAGGAAGCTGTAAAAAAACTGTCTTGCTAGGCGTCATGGCACACACCTGTAATCCTAGCACTCCTGGAGGCTGAAGCAAGGAAGATCACCATGAGTTCGAGGCCAGCTGGACTACACAGCAAGATCATCTCAAAAAAAAGAAAAAAGAACTGTCTAGTAGTTTGGCTTTGGGGGGTTTTTTCCCTTTTTTTTTTTTTTTTGCGCGGAGGGATCAGGCTCTGGCTAGGTAGCCCAGGCTGGCCTTGAATTCAAAATGATCCTCCTGCCTCTCAGCCTCCCAAGTGCTGGGATTACAGATATGTGCCACCGTGCCTGGCTATAAAGAACAGTCTTCAACTCACAAGAAAAGAAGATACTATGTCCTTGGGTATTAAGTTTTTTTAATTCTTTTCCTACATGCACAAATTCAAATTCTTTTTTAAGATTAATCTATTTTTTTTTCTTTCTACAGAGATGAAGAAAACATCAAGCTCTACCTGAGGAATGAAAACTAACCACAGAGGTCATGTTTCCAAACTTCCTGACAGACACAAAAATGTCATTAATAGTTTCTACAAATGAGCTTTACTACCCGTGACTTCCAGAGGCTAGAAATGGTACTAAAGCAAACACAAGTCCCCAAATTGTTTTGACCTCATAGGCTGAAATCTTATGCATAAGAGGGAGGGGAGGGAAGGGAAGGGAAAGGGGAAGAAAAAAGGATATATAAACTGCCCACAAGGAATGTAAATATTATGTACTACACACATGTACTAATACACTAAAAAAAAGTTAAGTACAAAAATTAAAAAGTTAAGTAAAAAGAACACAGTGGTTCCTTTTGTGCCTTAACTACAAACCACAGCAGACCTCAAGGCATTGAAAACCTTAAGAAATAAAAATTTAAAAAAAAAAACCCAAATATTAACAGAAAACAACTCTGAATCTAACAAGCCTGTGTGAGGAGGATTCCTCCTGCCACAATATGGCAAAACCTAGCCTGACCAATGTCAGCTCTTGCCCGTGGTTGAATGGGTAAGAAAGCCTGTCTTCTCCATTTCTCTTTCCCAACCTCCTAGTCTCCAATCTGTTACACAAGACACAAGAGTAAAAACATTGTTGGTGATTGCTATTAGCAACTAACTTACTGTATTTGTTCTGGAATCTTGCAGTGTAAATTTCCAAGCCCTAAAGAAAAAAGATACTTAGGTGAAGCAATCCAACATTTCAATGATTTTCAAAATCCATGTTAACATCAGAATTCCTGAAAAAGCTTGTTTTAATAAGAATAGGTATTTGAAGAATAGGTATTTGAATAGGTATTTGAAAGTTGGGCATAGTGGCCCATCCCTGTAGTTCCAGGTACTCAGAAGGCTGAGGACCACAAGTTTGAGGCAGGGAACTTTTGTTTTGTTATTTCAGACAGGGTCTCAATATGTAGTTCAGGCTGGCCTTGATCTCACTATGTAGCCCAGGCTGGCCTCAAACTTACATCAATCTTCCTGCCTGAGCCTCCTGAGAGCTGGGATTACAGGCATGCGCTACCATGCCCGGCTAAGGAGGGAACTTACTAAGATCCTGTCTAAAAAATAAAAAGGGTTGAAGATATAGCTCAGTCCTCCTCAGGCTCAATTCCCATTGCCAAAGGGTATGAAAGGATGGGGGACAGAGATCTTCAGGCCTTGCCCCAGGACTCCCTGAATCAATCAACTCATTCAAGACATGCACTAGAAATATGTATTTTAAAAATACATCTATGATAGATATCTAACATTTAAAACCTAATGTGCACTATTTAATATTTGCTTTACTTTTTGAGACCTTTTTCCAATGTGCATTTTTATTACTGCATATTAACTTTACAAAATATTGGGTTTTTTCTATGGCACTTTCATACATGGATATAACATACTTTCATCATATCTACCTTCCCTTGTACTCCCTCCCACGCTCCTGCTTTACTTTCTAATAAATGTGAAATATATTGCTACTTGCTCTCCAGTTCATGTCATATACACAGATACTTCATTTTCTTAGGTCATTAGTTCCATAGTATGAGATTTAGCTTGTCAGTAAGTTTTGCCATTAAAAAGAATGCTCCTAGCCAGGTGTGGTGGCACACATCTGTAATCCTAGCACTCAGAAGGCTGAGTCAGGAAGATCACCATAAGTTTGAGACCAGTCTGGGCTACACAGTGAGTTCAAGACCAGCCTGAACTTCTTAGCAAGATTCTGTCTCAAAACAACAACAGGGCTGGGGATTTAAGCTCAGGGGCACCAAGTCTGCCTTGCAAGCACACAGTTCGATCCCTGGTACCCAAAAAAACTAAAACAACAACAACAACAAAAAAAAACATAAATCCCTACATTCATGCAGCAGACAGGCACTTGCTGTGTGTGGACATGTCAGAGAGAATATTTTAAATATGGCAGTCAGGAAAGCATTCTTGGAAACTCTGTCTCTCTGCTTTGTTATTTGCCTCCAGACTAATTAAGAGTTTTTTCCTGCCTTTTCCTTCCCTTAATTTTTCTTTATTGTGTATTCCCATAGTTGCCAAGCCATTTTTATGTATCTTGCTCATGTTTAACCTGGGAAATGAGACCTAAAGCTTCTATTTGCTCTGATATGGTATGAGTTATTTCTTGTTGGCACCCTTCACAACTAATCTAGTGCCACCTCAGAGCTCTAGCCCACTCCACTTCAGAAAGAGCTGGATGTCTCGGTGTTTCCCACAATCAGTTTTTCATAATCAAAGGGCACAGGGATGGAAGAGGAGGAAATTTTTTCTGAGACTTGTTAAGTTCTTTCTGAAAAATCTGGGTCCCAATAGTCTTCTGAGCAAAATCCTTTGAACATCTCACATGGGGCTCACAGCACCAACCAGAGAATTATCTAACTCATGCAAGATTCAATGCCTTCAATGCACTGTTACATGACAAACCTTGGGGAAGCTTCCAGCCTTTGTTGAGATTCCAAGGATACCTACTCCAGGGTTGTTTTGTTAGCTTTTCCAAAAAGTATCCTTTTTTTCCCCCTTCGGTTTTTTGAGACAGGCTCTTACTCTGTAATACCTTACTTTCTTAATTGACATCATTCTGGATTGCAAAGTATTACTAAAAATTTGTGATGTTTAATTAACACATCTTGTTACTGCTTCTGGGATTTGAGGTGAGGTTAAGGACAGTAATGTCTCAGCAGAAGCATCTAGTTCTTCCTTTGGCTCTGTGAAGTTTGTACTTGAAATCAAACTTCTTTATTGGCTGGTGCCATTGCAATGTTTTGCCCTTTACTTCACGAGGTATTTGGAGAAGACGTTCCACATTCATTTCAACATCTTTACTCAGAAATTATAAATTGAATTGAATAATGTCCCCTCAAAAGACATATTGAAGTTCTAATCCCCATTACCTAAAAATGTGAAATTACTTGGAAATGGGGTCTTTGCAAAAGGAATCAAATTTAAATGAGTCATACTGTAAGGTCAATCCTTAATCCAACATAATTGATGTCCTTTATAAGAGGGAAATCTGTACACAAACACATGTCATATAACAGAGGCAGAGCCTGGGGTGATGAAGCTGCAACCCAAGGAACACCAAGGATCAGCAGCAACCACCAGAAGCTAGGAAGAGGCAAGGAAGAATGCTATTGAGTTCCAGAGGGAGTGTGGAGAGGATCTCATCTTAGACTTATAGCCTCCACAACATAGAATCCATAGGACCTTGACAAGGGGAGATTATCCTGGAATATCCAGGTAGGCTCAATCTAATCACAAGTCCCTAAAAGCATATAACCTTTCCTGGCTGCAGAACAGAGAGGGTCATGTGAGAATTATACACGAATAAAAGTTTAAAAAAAAAATCCGTAAAGCAGTCATCAGCTCAGTGCCTAGTGCAAATAAGTGCTCAATATATGTTAATTTAGGCATCTGATGGTAATAATAGAGTTCCAGATTATGAAAGTAGCAAATTAGCCTGACATGGTCATTTGTCCACCAATCCTTAGGAAAGCTGTATCTTTTCCACAACATGCCAGTCAAGATTGATATAAATCAAGATAGTATAAAAAATAAGCTACATCTCAAATTGAAAATAAACCCTAGAGTTTGACAGAACATTTACACTGAGGATGAACATGAATTGGTAAATTGTCTGCAGGCTTTCATGAAAATGTCATGTACTTATGAGTTTTTCAGTTAGCTCTGCTACTGAATTCCCATGATGTCCTGAATTAACCCACTGAAGTGGTAGACAGAAAATCCAATCTCACCATTAAATTTAATTCAATCAATTGTTTTCAAGGTTCAGAACCAGCATCAATGCCAACATTAACAGGCTGAGGGCTAGTAGATTGGGTTTTCCTCCCACGATTTAGTTTCCCATGCCTTCTTCAGAGAGCAGACAAGAATAACTACCAAAGAAAGGAAAAAGCTCCACAACATGGATGTCGATGCTTATTAAAGACATATTTAGACCGGGTCATGGTAGTAGATACCTATAATCCTAGCAACTCAGGAGGCCGAGACATGAATTTTTTTTATTTTTTTTATTTTTCTAGTACCAGGGATTGTACTCGGAACCTTGCACTTCCAAGGCCAGCGCCAGAACCACTGAGCTAAATCCCCAGCCTAGCCGAGACAGGAGGATCTCAAGTTCAAGGCCAGGATAGACAACTCAGCAAGACCCTATCTCGAACTAAAATAAAAAAGGGCTGGGGATGTAGCTCAGTAGTAGAATGCTTGCCTAGTGTTATGGTTTGGGTCTGGATGTCCCTTCAAAGCCTCATTTGGTCACAGGTAGCTGAATCTGGAATGTGTGATGCTGGAATTGAGGGCATGTGATTACTAAACCACTACATGTGAGTGAGTGGTTTAGCACCGCCCTAATCCCAGTAGTCTGGATGGGATAAAAGAGGCAGAAAAATGGGTGAAAGCCCCTTTGTTACATTTGCTACCTTGTGTGTGCCATGTTGTTTCTCCTCTGTGATGCCTGTTTGCCAACCCTATGAACTGAAATCTCTACAAATTGTAAGCCAAATAAACCCCTTCCCCTCTAACTTTGGGTGTCAGGTATTTTGTCTCAGCACAGAGAGAAAAGTAACTAACACAACTAGCATGTGCAAACCCCAAGGTTCAATCCCAGAAGCCACAAAAAAGAAAACAAATGTGTAAAGATCAAGATTCACCTAGGCCTATTATCCAGTGTGAATCTAATAATGAAAAAGAAAGAACAAACTAACTATTACTTTGTCATTTTCACCATAAGATCCTAAGCAGGAATTAGATCAAGAAACATCCATTACATTTCTTTCACATCTGCTGAGCGAGCCCCTATTCTGCTTCCTGAAGCAAACCATTTCCATTCTTCTCTTCCTGAAAATTGAAAACTTTATTTTATCTTTTTGCTTTTGGTACTGGGGATCGAACTCAGGATCTTGTGTTTGCGAGGCAGGCATCATGCCACTGAGCTAAATCCCCTGCCCTGAAAATTTTTAAATTAAACACATAAGAAATCAAAACTCACAAACAATCATCTGTGCTTTCTGCACAAAGACTAATTGTCTTCCCATCTCGGCAAACAATCTGAAGCAGACAATCTTTTGGCTTCCCATCTGGAGGCTGAATATCTACAAAAACAAAGAGAAAAGAGTATAATTTACATAGTTTTTCTGGTTTTTTTAGAAAAACGTTTCTTCTTACATATTTTAAGTCATAACAGCACAGATAAACCAAGAACTACACTATAAATCAATAACATAACCAACAGCCTGACCAAGAAGGTAGAAAGTGGTCAGCTAGGATGACAACAAATGTGACAACTCCTGGAAACTATGACACCACAGATTATTAAGAAACTAGAGTCATCATCAAACAGATTCCAGTTTCTATGTCACAAAACCAACATGGTCTAAGGTAGCTCCATCCTTTTCGGGGTTCCCACCATACTGTTTCCTTCTCCATCAGACAAAGTGACACAAGATAAAAAGGTCTAGCGTGGATGAGAAAAATCTATCTGGCCCAACCATGGTTCATTCTTTAAACCCGAGGTCCCCGTTGTGGCCTCACCTCCCAGACAGAGCCCTTCTTCAGTCTGTTAACAGAAGCAGAGTCAGGTACAGGAGATGATTCAGTCACTATCAAGACTGAGGAAGAGCAGATGACAGAAGCTGGATAAGGGAGAGCAGCTTACCCCGACACTCATGCGCTGTGCGGATATTGATGCAGTCCACTGGCATATGGACTTTATCCTCAATACTCTGGCGTGTCTGATCGTCGTAATAGATCAAGTGACCATCTGACCATAGGTCAAACCAATTCTTTTTCCAGCGCTTCAAAATAGTACCTGTAAAAAGCAGATAGACGTTGGGTCAAAAGACTTTGTCCTCTAACTCCCATCCAAATACTAACCAGGCCGACCCTGCTTAGCTTCTGAGATTAGACAACATCAGGAGAAATAAAGGAAAATCTTCCTGGAGCCTCTAAGCACACCTACACAAAACCGCCTGAAGCAGTTGGTTGAAACAGAAATGGAAGCGGACACCTCGGCCTGACCACCCACAATTAGCAGGGCTGTAGGCACCACAGTGCAAGACACTAAAGGCTGCAAACCAGAGGACATAAAACACATACAAAAAAGTTCAGTTTTAAAAGAAAAAGTTACTGGGCCGGGGATTTAGCTCAGTGGTTCTGCCATCTGCCTAGCAAGTGCAAAAGTCCCGTGTTTGATCCCCAGTACCAACATAAAAAGAAAGAAAAGAAAGAGCTACTTTGAGCTAATGAAAGAAGTCTAACATCCGATTTCCCAAGTCTGCCTGGGGAACTAAAATTTTGTTTTGTTTTTAGCAGTACTAAGGACTGAACCCAGGGTTGCCCTACTACTGAGCTACATCCCCAGCCCTATTTATTTTTTATTTTTGAGATACAGTCTTGCTAAATTGCTTGGGTTGGCCTCATCGAGATTCTCCTGCCTCAGCCTCCCAAGTAGCTGGGATTATAGGTATATGTAAACCACACCCCCTCCCACATCCCCAACTAAACTTTTAAACTTTCTAAACCTTCCTAGCACTATCTAAATTTGTAGGATTGATCTGAAAATGCTGAACTAGAAAGTCTCTAAATGCAAATGAAAATACTTCCCTCTTTGAAAACACATTTGATTTCTTCATCCTTAAGAGTTTTCAGGGGGCCAGGGATGTAGCTCAGTGGCGCTGCGCCTGCCTGGCAAGCACAAGGCCCTGAATTCAATCCCCAGTAGCAAAAAAAAACAGCTTTCACATTTACTTTTTCCTAATACTTCCCTTCACAGGAAGCCCACAGCCTGATGCAGATGGAGAAAGGCAGAGACACTGGAGAAATGTATATCCCACCACCTCACATCTTTCTGTCAGTCTGAGAATCTACCTTTTCATTATAATATTTGTAATATAAGGCAGTTAACTTTATAATGTGTCTGCCCTAGGAAACCCCTGCAGTGGATCTGAAGCCAGTTTTTAGCTCCGAGTCTCCTGGCACCTTCTTCACATCCACATGCTGGATCCCATGCTATTCTTGCTCAGTGTGCACAAATCCCATTCCACATAACCCCTCTTATGTCCCATGCCTGCTACTGATCGACCAAATGATGTGACAGTAGGACCAGAATCCTACCAGTATCAAGCACTCTTCCCACTAGGAGTGTCTACAGCACCTGCCCACAATGACCAATACTGACATGCAGCGTCCATGTAAACAGCAGCTCCTGTACTATACAGAAACTACCAGGCTGAGGCATGAAAAGACAAGTGGAACCACTAGGGTGAGAAGTTCTGCCCCAGGATGCCAGGCTACAGACTCCCAAATCAGGCTGCCCTCCCAAAGCTGCACACTTGGTCCTAACAGGCTATGTGGCAATAGCAGGAAAAGGAATCCCGGAACCACTTGACTTATGTATAATCACTGGTGTATCTCTGCCACTCCGAAACCCAGTGAATGCAACGTATCTCATTTTACGTTGCTGAGATACTCTTGCTTTCAGCACAGAAAACTCAATCCTCATGGTGGACAATGGGTGACGGAATAAGTCTTCTGAATGCACAACTCTAAAACGGATACTGGCCAGGAAACTGGAAATGTCTGTGCAACTTAATGTGGTTTTTTTGGTACCGGAGATCGAACTCAGGACCTTCCGCTTTCGAGGCAGGAGGCGGAACCACTGAGCTAAATTCTCAGCCCTAATTTTTAAAATTTTTTAAATTTTTAAATTTTTTTAATTTTATTTTTTATTGATTGAATGATTGTGCATTGGAGCCTTTTGCATGCATAGTAAGTGCTCTACCAGTGAGCTACACCCCTAGCCCAAAAACATCTATTTTGTGTCTCTGTGGCCATACTAGACACTAGTGGACAGCATTGTTAAAATGATCACTGTTCACTTTGCAGGCAGATGAATATGCGCTTTGGGGGACGTGGTCCTTGGTAGCTGAGGTAGCGGAGAGAATTTTTCACCCTGGAAACAAAGAAACTTTCCTCTTTATATATGCAAAAGAAAGCCCTGGGGTAGCCTAAAGGTGGGAAGGGTGGGAAAATTAAGGAGACTCCAACAGAGAAACTTTCCTACTTCATTCATACAAATCAAGAGTAGTCACAAGGGTGGAAAGTATGGAAAAATAAAGACAATGAAGTAGAGTTGTTTCACTTGCCTGCAAGTGATCTAGTCCCCTCTTTTAACTTTGAACCCCATATTTTCTACTCTGCAATAAATTTATTTTCTTTAAAACTCTGCTCACTCATGGTCTCTCATTATTCAAGCTGGTCAAGCCATGTGAAATCTCCTTGGGCCACCAAAACCCAGGAAAATTCAGGTTACATTTTTTCTGGCACCATACAAAACGGGAATTCACAAACTTCCTCCTACTCTCCTGAGTCACAGTAAAATAAGATGACCACGCTGTTTCCTGAGTTACTTGATCTTCTTTCTCCTTTCTCCTATAACTTACTCTGCAAACTTCTGCTAGGAACTGTTTGTCGAGATTGTTGGGTGAGCTGTTCATGATGTAGTCCAGGATTCCAATGTTCTCAACCACCCAGGACCCTCCTCACACTGGAGGGGCCTCCCTCCCTGGGATGCCTTGCTTCAGCACTTCACTGAGGGACACTGGTTCACTGAACCTCTTCCATTAACTCTAAGCATGGGCAGACCCCACTATTTTTCATGGCTCTAATGGAAGTGCAAGGGCACGTCTCTCAGTCCAACTAAGGTAGAGAGCCGATGATCTGGAGAGGGCCTGTGCCCTGCTTTGATATATGCCTACACTCCAACACCCACCACCCCACCAAGAAAACTTTTGGGGTAAGTGGAGAGAGGTTGAATTCCGATACTTAAGAAGGAAAACAAAAATCTAACTTGTCTTACTTTTCTCTCATTGTTGAAACAAAATACCTAACACCCAAAATTAAAAGGGAAAGGGTTTATTGAGCTCAGAGTTCGTAGAGGTTTCAGTCCATAATCGGCTGGCCCCAAGGCAGAATGGCACATGGCAGAGGGGCAACATTAATCGTGGACCAAAGGTAGCAAAGTAACAAGGGAACCAACAAAGGACCTTAACAGCGGCTTTCTGTCCCTTTTATATTCCATCTAGGATACTGGGATTAGCATGGTGTCAAACTAATCAGTGGACTGATTTAGTAATCACACGCCCTTAATCCTACCATCACACACTCTACATTCAGCTGCCTCTGAAAAAAAAGCCCCACCTCATTCGCATGAGGCTTTGGGGAGACATCAAGACATAAGCCATAACACTTGGCCTCCCTTAAGGATCTCGCCACTCTGGCACTGTGGAGAGTTTGATTCATCAGGTGCAGTATCAACTGCTAAGAGATCTGGCTACAGGACCTCCTCACCAAGACCTCAGAGGCTGTTCCAGATGGTGGAACCTCCTTCTACTCCCTCTCACAGTCACTAGGGCACCTCGAGGCTGCTGCCAGTAGGCTAAAGGGAATAGGCTTCCCCCTGCGGCTGTGTGGTGGGGGTACCCTACTGCAGCCATGAACAAAAGGAGATAAGAGGAAAGAAGGCCCCCCATAAAAACTCTGGCACTGTCTTGGGGATAGTAAGGCACAATATGTTGCTGCTGCTGCTGCCAGCAGAAGGAAGGGAAGTTAGTCTTCCTCTGGTGTTGCCATGAGCACAGAGGCTAGGAAAGGAGGTTGTGCGACAGGTATGACAGGGCCACTCTCATGCCTCCCACCTTTTTTGTGTACATGTTTCAGATGGGAAATTTGGGCAGCCTCCCTAGTGCAGATACACTGAGAGAGATCTGATCCTCAATCCCTGAAGAAAAAGTGCACCCAGGTATGGATAGGGCATCTATTGGGAGACGGCGAGACTTGGCCAGCAGAGGGAACTATAAACTATAATACCACCCTACAGCAAGATTTGCTTTGTAAAAAGGAAAGGAAATGGTTAGAGGTTCCTTATGTCCAGCTTTCTTTGTCCTAAGGGATAATGAAATACTTTGTAAGACAGGCAAAACTGACTCAGCCTTGCTAGGGGATCTGGCACTGGGAGGGGTACAAAAGAAAACTCCCAAGCCCAGTGGGCCTCAAGGGAATTAGCCTCCACTCCTAGAAAAAGGACAGGGGGTATACCTAAAATGTACCAATAAAAGAATTTAAGACAAAAGAAAAGAAAAAGGACAGGAGAACACCAATGGAGCAAAAGGGGGTAAGGAAAATAAGCCCCTGAATAGTATCCTCCTGTACCCCAGGAAAGGGGCCCGGATGTCTCCCTTATGGGGGGGGAGGCATTTAGCAAGCCCCTAAGGTTGGGTAACCCAGCCCCTGACCCTGCCTCTTTGCTTCCCCTTCAGGTAACAGGGTCAAAACCAACGGGCCTATATTCCCTTCCCCCTAAAGGAATTTAGACAGATAAAAAAGGAAAGTTTGCCAAGGATCAGGTAAATTTACTGAGGTACTTACTGAATGGGCTAAGAATTACGATCTCACCCATGAAGATGTATGCCTTATTCTGGAACAAATTCTCATAACCACTGAGATAAACAAGGTACAGGATAATGCCCAAAGATATGAGAATAAAGACTATCTTGCCCAAGTAACCCACAGGACCCTTTCACTCCAGTGTCCCAAGATGTCCCAAATTGGGATCCCAGCTCTGAGTGGGGATGTGCAAGACATGGGCATTTTGTAATTCGCATCAGAGGGCCTCTGAATATCAAGAGAAAAACTAGTTAATTACCAGGAGCTTTCTGATAAAACAGAAAGAGGGTGAGAGCCCTAGTGATTTCTATGAAAGACTGAAAGAAGCCTTATCTTTGTTACTTTTCTCACTGCTGACACAAAATA